AAGTACACGAGTGCCGTTTTTTAGGCAGCATTTTAAGGAATTTAATATGCAACTCTATTTCTGCATCTTTGCCATTTGATGTTTCTTTGCAGGACTCAAATGTAGTTGGTCTGAAAAGTGGTTGGGTTCCCTTAAAACAGAAAAAGCAGTAGAAGACAGAGTCTTAATACATTTTTAAAAAGAGTAATGGAAGTTTCAGAGCCTTCCATTATTTCCATTGGGAATCGTGAAAATTCCCAAATGATGCATATGCTTGAGAAACAATCTGTTATGCAGAGAAACAAAGTAAAAGGCCCTAGGCCCACTCAAGACACCTGGTTTCCATCCCATCTTTGGTCACTAGCTCACTATCACTCAGGCAAGTGACAGCGGGGAGGGGCACACTGTCCCTATCACAGAAATGAAGAAATTTTGATTTCCATAACCATTCTCCAGTGATAGGAGACATACGCAATCAAGAATGACTCTAATTGCCAAAAGTAGCTATCATGTAACTCAGGAGACACCTGCCTACCACAGGCACCAAAATCCTTCCAGGTCTGACAGTCTGTGATTTCATGATTTAAGTTCCTTGGATTGCGGATGACCACACAAGTAGCAGTGATGTATACAGAGAACCATTAAACAGTCTCTAGATTATGCTTAGAATGTCACACCACAGGCAGCATAAGCCAAGCTACTATAAACACCTACCTAGGTACTCTGGTTAATTAAATGTCCATGTTACTATCACTGTGCTCATTATGATTGTAGATATGGAGTTGGTATTTTTAAGAAGTGTATAATGAGACTTTGGAATACATTGCACACAATTTAAACTATCCCTGGTACATGTTGTCATTTCTTCACTTTACTGTTAACTGAGAGAGCAATGAATGCTTACTTTATTGCAGTAGATTACTGTACACAAAATATTCCTTTCCACGATCCCCATGACTTCCCAGCTCACTGATATTGGACTCAGCCATGTGACTGGCTTCCGCTAATAGAATGTGGGCAAAAATGACAACATACCAGTGTGAACCCTTGGCCTTAAAAAGTCTCAAGTGTTTCCATTTGCCACATCCTCTGTTAAGAGAAGAACACATGCCTGGTAGCCTCTGCCTCCCTAGTATGGGTTCTGTTCTAGAATGAGACACATAGAGCAGACCCAACTTTAACCCTCAGCCCCACTTCTTCAGGTTGCACATGAACACAAGCCACACTGCACTAACGTCAGCGGTGTCAGGAAAAGCCATCATCACTGTGTAGAAAGTTGCAGGGAAGGAAAACCCAATGGAGGGGAATGAAGACTGAGTGGGGGTGCCCTGGGAAGACTACGCCACCTCAGCTGACCTGCAGACTGCTAAGCAGGAAGTAAAATACTTGACATTGTGTAGCACTCAGGTTTTGTGGAGGTTTCTTTCACAATAAAAGCCAATTAATCTAGCTATTATGATAAGCAAAATTTTACAGATATCATATATTTTTAAAAGTGAATAAAATCTTTCTAATCATATCCCCAAATAAGATAGCTGATAATGGCCATTTGGTATGTAACTTTCTTCTCTCTCTGGGTTTTCCAAGGATTAAACAATCAAATGCATATAATAAGCATTTAGCACAGTGACGGGCATATGATGTAAGCACTCATTAAACATTAGCTCTTTTTATTAATATTTTAGTGCAAACAAATATACTCAGAGATAGGTTTTTAATTTGTGCAAAAATAATGCCATGCTACAAACACTACAACTTGCTTTCTTCACATAACACTGTATCGTGGGCATCTCTGTAGGGCAACCCATCTTCTTAAGGGCAATTAATTCATCTTTTTAAATGTCTACACGATATCCCATGGTTTGAATATACCAAAATGTATTTTACCTACTTCCATTTGTAGAAAAGGAAACTGAGACTCAGAATGTTGAGAAGGTGTTTGTCAAAGGTTTTGCTGCCCTGTGACACACTTGAGCAATCAAAGGTAAGTGGAAATGACATGTGAGCAAACTTTAAGACCTGTCCCACGGTGTTGTTGCCTCTCTCACCTGTGACACACACCAACAATCTCAGACAGGGATTGCTCCTTCAGTCTGGGTCTCAGAGCAAAGAGCTAAGGCCTGAATCAGGATGAAAATGTAACATGCACATGAAATAAACTCATGTTCTTTTAAGCCTCTGAGAGTTGAGGGGCACTTTGTTGCTATAACATAAATCAGAGAATGCTGATACAGTGTTTCAAGACTTTCAAGCATTTAGGTGTTTACTGCAAATGTTCATCATCAATGGTTTGGCCAAGCACCAACTTGCTAGTCAATCAAAATGTGGGTTGACAAAATAATGGGAAACAATCTCCTTCCCTAATTACCCTTTTCAAAATTATCAGTAGCCCTCTCTCTTACTGCAAAATCACTAGGCAAAGGACGAAACAGCAGCGACAAAACGAGACCTCTAATGGCATAGTCCAGTAGGTTGAGCACCATCCTTTGTATGTGGGAAGCATCTTGGGCAGGTCAGGAGAACATTAACCCTATTTTTCCAGGTTGCAAATACATACACATGAACTCTCAACGCAACTTTAACATCACTAGTTCCAAGAATAACCATCATCACTGCTTAGGAAACTGCAAGGAAGGCAGGCACAATGGAGAGAAAGTAGACTGAATGTTACCTCACCAATAGTCACAACTAATAAAAAAATCATTTTGATTTTTTAAGTGTAATACATGTTTATTGTAAAAGTTCTAAAACAGAAGCATGAGGAGGAGATTGGAAACTACTCAAATACCACAGTGTTGACACCTTGATGGTTAATCAGCAGTATCTTCCTAGGTAAATGCACACACATATTATTATACAAGCTCTTCTATATGCATTTATTAAGTATACAAGGCCTGCTGTATACATTTCTTAAGTGTGTGCACACATATTACAAGGTCCTTCTCTTGTGCTCATCCTCTCCACTCTTCCTCCCCACCTTACCTTTTGGTCCTTCCAAACACACCCCATACTCATGCCCCATATTCAGACCTTTGTACATACCGTTCTTCTTTCTAGAACACTCTTACTCCACTGTCTCCTCTTCTTCTAGCTACTCCTAGTCATCCTCAAGATCTCAATTTACTCATTGTCTACTTAGAAGGTAATTCTCTGACCACTACCCTTGTCAGATGTCCCTTCTCTGTGTACCCAGAACATCTTGTCCTTCCTTCTCACATTGCATTATCATACTTGACTAGTCTTGACTTTTTATTTTCCTTGCTATACCCCAACATGTAGACAAGTACTGTAGCTTTTTTTCACCAATGTTTACCAGTGGCTGGCACACAGTAAATGCTCAAAACTTGTTGAATAAATGAATAACATATTTAACAATATATGCTACCTTTATTTCTCCAGAAATCCCCAAAGCACATGTCACTTCTCAATAAATGTCCCCTGAAAGATTAAATACAGAAAGGATACAAGACATGGGAACACGTCTCATGAAGCTTGTGAATTTTAGACAGAAAGAGAACACAAACAACAGGAAGCATCGGGGTGTGATTAAGTGCTATGTCCTTTACTTCTGCCTCCTCCAGTAATTCTCTCCAAACAGGAAAAAGGAGAATAAAACTCCCTAACTTCAGTTCCACATTTATTCCCTCATTGAGGGTTTCCTGTAGCACCAGCTGGAATAAGAAGACACTAGCAGCTCTAACATATATAATCCGAAATTTCAGTGATTCGACACAGTGTAGTTGATTTCTCACTCAGGCAAAACCCAATGAGAACGTTCCTGTCAGAGGGCAATCTTCCACATGGTCATTCAGAGACGCAGGCTCCTTCCATTTGTGGTTCTGCCCTCCTCTATGCCTCCTACTTTTAACCAGGAGATGGGGAAAGATGGTTTTATGAGCCAATCCTATAAGTAGCACTCTTTACATTCACCCCCTTTGCACTGGCTAAAACTCAGCCAAGTGGCTGCACCCAGTTACAAAGGATGCCAGAAGATGTAGTTTAGCTGGAGGCACAGGAGGAAAAAGAAAAAGAGTTTGGTGAACACTTTATAGTTCTTCCATGACAAACGGTGAGTGAGTATCTAGTTCTAAGTGATCCCAAGTACAGGGAATCTTGATTTGTGGATACTGAAAACACTTGTTGTTTTGATAGAAGAATGTCTAACACTGGACTTGAGAGTAAAAAAAGGATCAATTCCACAATTGAGAAACCACTAATGGTGATAACCACTCCCAGGCAAATTCTAAAAGACAATATTTAAAAATGGCTTTTATAAACTTTGAAAATGAAGTGGTGATTATTACAAGTTATTGTGGACTCCCTCAGAATCATCATAACTAACCAAGCATAGTGCCCAGCACACCATAGACAATAAATATGTAGTGAGTGGATGAACTTCAATTCTACTTTTAAGGCAACTATCCCACTGATAAAAATTTTTAACAATGTAACTGCAGAAAGTTCTTCCGTAAATATAGCAATTTTCCCTTCTAACTTCTAACCATTACCCTCACTCTGACCTCAAAAACTACAGAATAAGTGAACTCCCATGTGACAGTTGCACAACTATTTGGAGATTTCTACATATGCTCCCACAGTCTTTCATTTTTCCCTCTAGGTAAATATTCCCAGTTCCTTCCTTTCTTCTCTATGGGACATAGTTGCAGGCTTCCCACCACGTGGCCTATCTTCTCTTGGATTGGTCAAAATTGTTCTCCACAGGTCATGTCCACAGTGTTTCCAACACAGTCCAACCAGCTGCATTAACTAGATATATCACTCCCCAGCTCTGAGTATGTAAGCAGTGAGGATGCTGCCAAAGCCATTCCTGCATTGGGGAAAGGACAGAACTGGGAAGATGCCTTCTAAGGACCCTTGCCACCTTATGATCCCACACAAGTTTTGGGAAATTCTGACTACTGAAAAGACATCACCATAAGGATAATAATGTGTACAATTCCACATTCCTCCCTAACACAAACCTAGTCTGAGCATACTCACCAACAACTCAATTTACTTACTTTCTTGTATTTCAGTTTTCTTCCTTTCTGCCTCTTTACTCCAGTTGAAATGTAGACACATATATCCAAGCTGACAATCTGAAAAAAGGAGGAGGGGATAGGAAGAAAATGAATCATTCCAAAATTGGAAACCACTCTCAAGCAAATGAGAACTAATTTCGTTCACAGTTAATCCAAGGGAAGGGCTTCCAAAGAAGCTCTAATGTATAAGACAGACTTATTGAACACCCTCTATGTGCCAAGCATTGTACTAAATTCTGTGGATACAGTGAAGACAAAAAGATATGCTTATCCTGCCCTTTTGATGCTTGGCCTCTGGTGAGCAAGACCTAACTAAAAAAATAAATAAATAAATAATGACAACATGAAGAAATATGGAATAACAAATGAAGATAGATTCTTTTGTGATGAGGAAATCTCCATTTCCCTGGCTTAAGGTTTCCATGAAGGGGCAATTGCTAGAGCAACCCTCTTGTCCACTCTCTCTGTCCCTTATTTACCTCCATGGGAAAAGGGTTCGCTGATGGCTGAGTTCAGAAGAAAGACCCAGTGTGCCCATTTCAGCCAGCTGCCCTCTTTTCGGAATCAAGTTGTTCACAGGATGTACACCCTCACTGTCCACTTGGAAGACATGTGCCACTGCCCCACCTGTGCCAGGGACTGGTAGTTAAGTTTAATACAGGGTGAAGCATTAGCAAATCCACTGTGGCCTCATATCTGCCATGCCCTCCAATCTATCCTACATCAAAATGGCATTGCAATTTCCATTCATCTGCTTCCTGTATCTAACTTTCAGTGGGTCCTGGGAAGGAAAGGAGGTATTTATCACCCTCCTGAAATCCCAATGCTATGAAGAAAAACGACTGGGACTTGTGAGAAAGTTTAAGGGGTGGGGGGGGATCCGATTTAAAGGGGGGAGGTATTGGGAATGCAGTCTGAAAAAAAAAAAAGGCCTCTTTAACTGTAATTTAAGCTAACATCCAAAGAAATGAAAATTGACCAAGGAACAGGGAAGAAGTGGGAGAGCTCACATAAAGGTCCTTAGGCAAGAAACAGTTTGTCTGTTTGCAGAACCAAAGAAGTCCAGTGTGGGAGTCACTAGGGCCATCACCAAATACCTCCAGCTCTCTGCCTTCCAAGCAAATAGGATTGCACTTCCTGGTCTCCTTGTGGCAGGGCGGGGCCTTGAGACTTCTTTTAGGCAGTGAATCCAGAGAGGTGACGTGTGACATTCTGTGGCAAAGGTGAGGGGAAAATAAGGATGTGTGTTTATACAAGGGTAGTACCTGAAATACCTTGTATCTATTCTTGTGTTTTGTAATTATTTGTTACAGAAAATGTCTTGTACCATAATATGTTCGAAATAAATGCTAAAATTCCTTTATAATATAAAAAACAAGTATCTGATGTAAATAAATTAAAAATTGATTTAAAAATTTAAATGAAAGATTTTTTTCTAAAAGTTTGGGCCAAAGACATGGGTGCGCATTACAGGTGGGAGCACATTATACACGGCAAAATACAGGTAACCACATCTGGCTAAGACCCTTCAAAGCTCTCCTTCTTTCTAGTTCAATTGATACCTGTAATGATCCTGAAAGAAGGTGGTCTACCAGGGAAAGACAATGTAATCAGAATCCCTACCAATCCTTATTGAACATGGAGAAAGTGAAAGAAATAAAATGTTTCTGCCCTGAATCACTGGGCTTAAAATTGTTTTTTACTAAGGTATAACCTAGGCTACCCGGACTGATACAGCCATAGCCAGTGTAGAGTAAATGAGAAGTACTAGCTATTTCAAACTGGTGAGGTAGGATATAGCCCAGATCATGTGAGATCTTATAGGCAAGACAAAGAATTTGGGTTTTATCCCAAATCCAACAGGATGACTTAAGGAGGTTTCAGCAGGGCAGTTTGAAATGTTCCAACTTCTATGTATTAAAACAAGGTACCGTTGCTATTTAACTATTAAAACACCCCCCTTAATTCAACTATAGAAATGGCTGTTTTTTAAAAAAAAAAAATCATCAACAAGCATTTATTGAGTACCTTCTATCCTTCCATGTGCCAAGCATTGCATTAAGCACAATAGATATAAAAATAAATAAGACACATTTCCTGGATTTGGAGTCAGGAATGTAAGAAGACATTTACAAGAACACATGAGAAACATTCTTTGTTCCAGGTATGTATCCAGTTTGGTGAGAGCCAAAGAAGGTAATAAGCATTTGAGGGGAAGGGTAGGAGATGTGGTAATAGAAAGCTTCAGAAGAAGCAATTATTTGAGCTGGGTGTTGAAGGGTGAGTAGGAGTTTGCCAGGTAGCGTTTTGATTAGGGACAAAAGTAAATGGAAAGGCAGGAAAATATTAAGAGGAATAGACAATGTTTAGGGTGGCCAAGACTCATAGGAATGGGTGGAATGTGCTGTTGCAGGGTGTGGTAAACTGTATTCCTCTCGGCAAATACTTGCTGCTCCTCCCCACTGACATCAGGTTTGGCCATGTGAACTGTTCTCAGCAGAAGCTTTAAGTACCATGCTCTTTCCCCTCTGTCATGATAACCAGCAATGTTTCAGAAAGGATCCAAGAGTAAAGATGAAGTGTGTGAAGCAGAGACACAGCCAACCCATAATGGGTGTATACTATGAATGAGAAATAATTCTGTGGTTGTCATCCAGTAAGATTTTTGGATCGCTACCATAGCTTAACCTCACCTATACAGAGGCAAGCGTTTCCAGCTCTTGACTTTCAGGAACATAGTAGGATTGCACTTTCCTGAAGCCTGTAAAACATGGTCATGTGACTAGTTTTGACCAATAATATACAAGCATAAGTAATGTTTCTTATTTCAGGGAGGAAGCTTTTAAAGCCAATGTGAATTCACCATGCTTTCTCCCCCACTGAAGTAATTGGGATGACTGTGGAAGCATACATCAAGATGAAATCTTCTTCACACTTAGCTTCTGAGTGAGTACATTGAGCAGAACCCCTTTGACTTTGAACATGTAGTATGAGCAAGAAATAAGAGTTCTGGGGTTTTTTTTGGTTAAGTTACTAAGATTTTAGGATTATTATGGTGGCAAACTTATCATACCTTGACTGATACAATAAGTGGCACCTAGACATTGGGTAATGTAATAACAAAAATCAAATTAAACATTTGTTTAGGTGACAGTAACTAAGAACCCTGTTATTAGAAGCTAAAAGGATACTGATCTATTTGGTGAATATAACACCTGTGATCATTTAGAAGGCATATTATGAAACTATTGAACCGAATGAGACTATAAAACAAAGCGTTAGTAGCATGTGTTGGTGGCTGTTGGATGCATTTGGAAACTTATTACAAAAAAAAACACAAATTAATTCAGAGAAGACATGGCCAGTTTGCAAGCAGGAATGAAAGAAAGTAGGGATAATCTAGACATTCAGAGATTTGTAGGTTTAGAAAAGGCTACCGTTGCTCAATCTCAACAAATAATACAGTTAAGAAATGTTTTCAGCAATAAAAAGTCCAGGTAAAATCATCCTTGAAGTACAGATCGAGTCAAGGGCATGGCCTCAGCACCTCTGGATAAGTTAAGGTGCCACACAGCACATGCTTTCAATTGGACAAAATGGCTCTGGAAAAGGGAGGAGAAGTGTGACTCTCACACCATAGCCCAATAAGTGGAAAGCACTGAAAACCAAGTTGAGGGGTGGGGAGTAAACAAATGAGAGACAGAAAGATCAATAGGCATGAGAACAAGAAAGCCAAGAAATATGGCAGACCATAGGCCTACGTCCAGAAAAAGGCTGGCTGTGGCTGTTGGGAATGGAATGGCTGAAAGCAAATAGATAAGAAACACACATTTATGTGAGAGTTCTACTGCCTGGATTAAAGGAGACTGTACTGGAGACTTAATATCACTCTGTAGCCCTCCCCCCAATTTTTAAAAGCTTATTTAAAAACATATTTCCTACGACTGCTTTAGATACAGAAGAGGAAGTATCGCTCAGAGACAAAGCCAGGGACCATGGAAAGCAATGCATGGGGCAGCTACACTCGGGGAGCAGAACCAGGGGCTGAGTGGGGTGTTGAACAGGGGGGTCCTCAACAGGTCTGCTCCTTGAACTAGTGTCTACTGTGGTCAACCGTTCCTTCACCTCCCAAACAGCGTGTCCATGGCAGTAATCCTGTCTCTGTCCTGACATCTTGCCTTTAGATGAAGAGTCACATCTGGAGCTGATATAGGGTCTACTACACATCACCCAGAACCCAGAAAGCAAGCTTGATGTTACTAGAGGGGTCTGTAGAGTTGTCCCCCCTGAGAAAAGAATGAGAGAATTCTGCTTGTGGAAGGACACTAAGCCAAACATTTGGTGAACAGAAAGGGACACTGTTAGAATTGTTGATGTTGTCCCACAAATCTTCCTGGCTCTCTCAGTGCAAGACACTTGGCAGGGTTACAGAGATTCAAAGTTAGACATGGCCATGTGACTGACTTTGGCCAATGATACACCAGCAGAGTGCAGTGTGTCACTTCCAGGTAGATGCTCTGAGAGCCAGTGAATAATTTCGTGCCTTCCCTCTGGCCCCACCCCACCCTTAGCCAAGACAGTAATAAGAAGCAGGCTTTAAGATGAAATTTTCTTTAACTGGAACCCTCAAGTGACCACAGTGAACAGGACTGCCCTGCAGATCCACAGTGAGCACACAGCATTAGCAAGAAATAAGCTCCCCTGAGGTAAGTCACTGAGGTCTTGGGGTTGTTCCTTAGGGCAGCATAGCCCAGCCTTTCCTGATGGATACTGGAGATGAGAGAGAGAGAGAGACGAGGCCTGAGAGAAGGAGCTGGACTGTAAAAGGCCCCTTTTCCTAGGCAAAGGTGTCTGAACTCTCTCCTGATGGTAAGGGGAAGCCAATGAAGGCGTCCAAGCAGAGGCGTTAACATAAACAGATCTGTTATTTTTTGGATGAAATATGCTATTTCTCAACATAAGGAGAAAATCAGCCTACTAAACCACATAAGGCAGCAAGGAACACGCAGAACCCTTAAGCAAAAAATATATATTTATACGAAGTCCTAAGTCTTGAATTTTCTAAATATGGGAGCTCTGAAAGGAGTTACAAAGGATCAGGCAAGGCAGATTTCTTCTTTACCACCATCCAAGCTCTATTTCCTCTGCAGACAATATATTACAAGAAAGTCTCCCAGAGCAGAGAAGATACAAGGGAATGTAACACACACCTGAGATCAATTTTCAGCTACCTGTGTGGCCTAAGCAAGATATTTAAGGCCTAGTTCCTCACATGTTAAATCCACCTAACAATATAAGTAGCTCTAGATGGTTGTGAAAGAAATTGCACATTTAAATTGCTCAGGCAAACGCCTAGTTGATAGTAGACGTTTAATACATGAAATTTAATTTAATTACTCTCATTATAAACATTATTAAGAACACCAGTTCCCTGATTAAAAAGAAAGTGATTTCGGGCAACAGTATAGAGAACGTTCCCTCCTTGAGGAAAGTAACTGGATCTTGTCATCGCTATATCTCTACCCCACCCCTGCCCCCCAACCCAGACACTATCTGGCCCACAGTATCCACTCAGTTTTCCTCTGCTGCAAGAAAAGGAAAGGTGAGTGCCTGGAGCGAGGAAATGCCAAGATTTCCCTGCCCGCCCCCGCCCCGCGCTTTTGGGCTGTTGAATCTCTCTCAAAGCCACAAAGACCTTAAAACTCTGGGCTCTGAACCTAAGGTTGAGTTCCCTTAAGTTCTGAAGCTAAAAAGCCAGAATTAGATCCTAGGAATGGTACAGAAACTGCTGCCGGTCCAAATTCAAGCCCGTCTTAGGCCTTCTGCCTGGGGAAAGAGCTGACTTCTGACCCTCTTTCCTCCCGCACCCTTCTCCCCTCATTGCTCCTCACAGGCATATGTACACCTGTTTCTACCAAGTCACATTCATATCCTAGCATTCCATCAAGGCTCTGGGAAACTCAGGAAAGGGGGGTGTTTGGCGATCTAGCCCTGAAAGTGATGATGCTACACTATCTCAGCACTTTGAGGTGGTTCCCCGCCCCCCCACCGGTCCCCCCTGCAGATAAAGGAACTGAAGCTCAGAGAAGCTTGGGGATTTGCTCACTTCACACCATGACAGCGTTGGCTACGACAGAACCCACGATGCCCGACTTCAGTCTTCTTTCCACCGTACATTTTTGTCGCTAAGGCGTGCGGGATGGGGGGAGGCTAAAACAACCACCCTAGAACAGGAACCACTTATATGTGTCTAGCGCTTCCTAGAGGCTACACAGGATATGGGCCCAGCACCTGGCCAAGGGCGAAGAGATTTTAAATTCTACTTCCATCCGATTCCTCGCTGCGTGACTTTCGGCAAGTGTCCGCCGCTCTCGGACTTGTTTTCCCGAAAGCAAATAAGAGAGGGAGGAGTGTGAGCGTGAGCACGTTCGTTCGCCTTAAGTGTGGTGTGCGTGTTCTTGTTATGCGGGGGCAGGGAGTAGACAATCGCCGGGGTTCCCCAAGTTTCGGATTCCCTAAACGCTGGTTCTCAACTGGACGCTGAGTTGCCTCCTAATTCCACTCCCTATTATATAAAGGGGAAAACAAACCCTCCGAGACGGAGCTGTGACCCCACACTTTCTCCCGTGGCCCGGAGGGTGAAGTAAGGGTGAGGCAGGGACTCAGAGCTGAGCACCCAGTTTCCAGCAAGGCAAATCGCTGGGCTTCTAGGGTGCAGCCAGACAGCGGGACGGACGGTCTCTCGTGAACTTGACCAGGAAAAAAACTTCCTAGTGTCCTCAACGTGGGGCACAGACTCTCGCGAGACTGCCCCTAACTTAAGCCCACTTTCGCCTCCACTGGGAACTTAACAGAGCCACCTTAAGGGCGGCGTCCCGCCCCCCGGAAGTGAGGGGGGGTAAGGACTCCACCGCTCGACCTCCCCGCCCTGCGCAGCGGCAAACTGCCCGTAGGTGACTTCGCGCTCCAACAAAGTGGGGAAAATACCACCCGCCCCCGCACCTTCGGTCCCAGACACTTGGCAGGGTTCCCCAGCTTTCCGGGTTCCCGCAGCCTCTGCATTCCCGCCCGGAGCCCCGAACTTGAGACGGCCTCTGTCAAAGGTTGCTAGCGCCCGCGTCTGCCGGGCTCGCAGTAGCCACCGTCACTAGACAGTCAAACCCCAAGACGTCAGCCCACAATGCACCGGGCGGGTCGGGAAAGACGCGCCGGGGAGGGGGAGGCGAAGAGCGGGGCGCGAGTCGCGCGGGAGGGTGAAGGGGAGGAGGAGAAAGAAGGGCCCAACTGTAGGAGGGCAGCAGAGCATTACCTCATCCCGTGAGCCTCCGCGGGTCGGGAGAGGAATCTTCTAGGGTGGGGTCTCCATGGCGACGGGCGGGCCCGCCCCCTTGAGAGCGACGCGAGCCAATGCGAAGGCCTTGGGGTGACATCATGGGCTATTTTTAGGGGTTGACTGGTAGCAGATAAGTGTTGAGCTCGAGCTGGATAAGGGCTCAGAGTTGCACTGAGTGTAGCTGAAGCAGCGAGGTGCGAGTGGAGGTGCGCGGATTCTGGGAGACAGGCAAACACAGTCAGGACCACGTAGAGTCCGAACCGCAAATCCTACTTTCTTTATTATTTTCTCAACAACTGCCCAGAACTAGCGTCTGTGGCTCCCGGACTGGTGTTTTGGGGAGCGTCCGAAGAGCCCCTTCTCCAGCCACCCCCAGAAGGAGCGCCCCGCTGCTAGGGGGCTGCTGACAGCGCGGAGAGCGGTGACTGTCGCCCGGAGAAGTCCAGCGAGCCGCAGCAGCGGCAAAGAAGTTTCCTGACCAGGGGGACAAGTAGCCCCTGGGTCCCGGAGCGAACTTTTGCAAAGCTTTTCTCCGCCCGAAGCTGCCGGAGCGGCGATAAAGGAAAGCAGGAGGCGGAGAGGAGATCGAGAGGGGACGAGCGCTCAGCTTCGTTCGCCCCGGTTGCTGAACTTGGGCGAGCCGCGGCCGCCCCCTCCCTCTCTCAGCGGAGGAGGGAACAGGCGTCGGAGTCCGGGCGGCGGAGACCCGCCAGCGGCCGGCCACTGCAGTGACCGCGCTGAGTGCCGCCTCCGAGAGAGCCACTGTCGCCGGGTAGCGAGTTCCCGGGTTCAAAGGAGCCGCTGCGCGGAGGAGCGCTCAGTGAGTGACCGCGACTTTTCAAAGCCGGCAGCGCGCGCGAGCGGACAAGAGTGCTGGCGGCGTCTTAACCCCGCGTTCCCTGGAGCGAACTGGTGAGGAGGGCGCAAGGGGGAGGACAGCCAGCGGGTGCGCGAGCTCTTAGAGAAACTTTCCTTGCCAAAGGCCCGGGGAGGCGCGGGTGTACCCCGTTTCCCAGCGCCCTGTTGCGGCCCCCAAACTTCTGCGCGCTGCCCAAACTAACCCCACGTGAAGTGACGGGTTGTTCTATGACTGCAAAGATGGAAACGACCTTCTACGACGATGCCCTCAACGCTTCGTTCCTTCAGTCCGAGAGCGGCGCCTACGGCTACAGTAACCCCAAGATCCTGAAACAGAGCATGACCCTGAACCTAGCTGATCCGGTCGGCAGCCTGAAGCCGCACCTCCGGGCCAAGAACTCAGACCTCCTCACCTCGCCCGATGTGGGGCTGCTCAAACTGGCGTCGCCGGAGCTGGAGCGGCTGATCATTCAGTCTAGCAACGGGCACATCACCACCACACCTACCCCCACCCAGTTCCTGTGCCCCAAGAACGTGACTGACGAGCAGGAGGGCTTTGCTGAGGGCTTCGTGCGCGCGCTGGCAGAACTACACAGCCAGAACACGCTACCCAGCGTCACGTCCGCGGCGCAGCCGGTCAGCGGGGCAGGCATGGTGGCTCCGGCTGTGGCTTCGGTGGCGGGAGGCAGCGGTAGCGGCGGCTTCAGCGCCAGCTTGCACAGCGAGCCGCCGGTCTACGCCAACCTCAGCAACTTCAACCCGGGAGCGCTGAGCAGCGGCGGCGGGGCGCCCTCCTACGGCGCTGCTGGCCTGGCCTTTCCCGCGCAGCCCCAACAGCCTCAGCAGCAGCCACCGCAGCCGCCGCACCACTTGCCCCAGCAGATCCCGGTGCAGCACCCGCGGCTGCAGGCCCTGAAGGAGGAGCCGCAGACAGTGCCCGAAATGCCCGGGGAGACACCGCCCCTGTCCCCTATCGACATGGAGTCCCAAGAGCGGATCAAGGCGGAGAGGAAGCGCATGAGGAACCGCATCGCCGCCTCCAAGTGCCGGAAAAGGAAGCTGGAGAGAATCGCCCGACTGGAGGAAAAAGTGAAAACCTTGAAAGCGCAAAACTCGGAGCTGGCGTCTACAGCCAACATGCTTAGGGAACAGGTGGCACAGCTTAAACAGAAAGTCATGAACCACGTTAATAGTGGGTGCCAACTCATGCTAACGCAGCAGTTGCAAACGTTTTGAGGAGAGACTGTCGGGGGCTGAGGGGCAACAGAGAAAAAATAACAACACAGAGACAGACTTGAGAACTTGACAAGTTGCGAGAGAAAGAGAGTAAAGAAGTGTCCGAGGACTAAAGCCAAGGGTATCCAAGTTGGACTGGGTTGCGTCCTGACGGCGCCCCCAGTGTGCACCAGTGGGAAGGACTTGGCGCGCCCTCCTTTGGGCATGGAGCCAGGGAGCGGCTGCCTGCGGGCTGCCCCGCTTTGCGGACTGGCTGTCCCAGCGCTAACAAAACGTTAGACTTTTCTTTAACATTGACCAAGAACTGCATGGACCTAACTTTCGATCTCATTCAGTATTAAAAGGGGGGAGGGGGAGGGGTTACAAACTGCAATAGAGACTGTAGATTGCTTCTGTAGTACTCTTTAAGAATACAAAGGGGGGAGGGGTCGGGGAGGGGCCGCGGGAGGGAGGTTTGTGAGAGTGAAGCTGAGGCTACACATGAACTCTTTCTGGCCTGCCTTCCTTAACTATGTATGTACATATATATATTTTTTAATTTGATGAAAGCTGATTACTGTCAATAAACAGCTTCATGCCTTTGTAAGTTATTTCATGTTTGTTTGTTTGGGTGTCCTGCCCAGTGTTGTTTGTAAATAAGAGATTTGGAGCCTCTGAGTTTACCATTTGTAATAAAGTATATAATTTTTTTATGTTTTGTTTCTGAAAATTCCAGAAAGGATATTTAAGAAAATAAAATATTGAAAAAGTATCCCTCCCCCAACCTCTTTTCTGCATTATCTCTAGATTTTCTATCTAGGTGGAGTTGAAGGAGTTAAGAGGGTCAATTAGAATTACTCTCAGTGCTGCTCACTGTCAAGCAGTAAAAACTGTTCTCTACTGGACTTGAGGAGTAACTGGCTGTTCTTTACGAAGTCATACTCTTACTTACAAAGAATAGTATGGCCTTTCAGGAGGCTGAGGGAAGGGAGGTTGTGGTGAAGAGGGACAGCCCACTGGGAAGTCAAACATTTTAAAGTTTGGATTATATCAAGTGGCATGTGCTGTGACCATTTATAATGTTAGTAGAAATTTAACAATAGATGCTTATTCTCAAAGCAGGAATTGTGGCAGATTTTTGCAAAAGATGTATCCTTCCAATTTGGAATCTTCACTTTAACAATTCCTAGATTAAAAAGATGGTCTTTGCTTATGAATATTTATAACAGCATTCTTGTCACAATAAACGTATTCAAATACCAGTAACAGATCTTGAATTGCTTTCCCTTTACTACTTTTTTTCTTTCCAAGCCCTATATCAAAGCTTTTCTTTTCAGCTGGAGGGGTTAATTAATGTCACTGACATCTGAAGTTACTCAGTACTTAAGCAGAGAATTTAGTAGGAGTTAACACAGAAGTTGTGATGTGGATGAAACAGTTTAATTCATGTTTCTTCCTCTCTCTGTCTCTCCCTCTCTCAAATAAACACCTACACCTAGATAAGGTACCAGTATAGCAGTTTCCCAGTTTAGATTTTTCTATAATTTATTTCTTAAGTTTGTTTCTAAAATAACCTGTTTAAGTAATTATTTTAGAGTCTATCTCAAAAGATGGTCATCTAAATACTATGGAGAACATTCCTAAGGGAAAACATGAACACCAACACAATGATTACATGTGTAAATCAAGCCTTAACTCTAGGGAAATGGCAAACTTAAATTCTTTCTACAGATATAACTTAGGAGATCAACAAGGCAGTACTCGACAAGGGAGCAATTTTTGCGTAGTTGCTTTTCATCCCAAGAGCCAGTGTGATTATCAAGCAACA